GAAAACCTGTACATTATCCACATGACATGTTAAAGATTTGTTCAGAGTTGAAACAGCTGCATCGAGTACAGGCAACCTCCATTTCTTAAACTTTTGTTCCATGGGGTGCAAGAAAAAAAACCTCTTGGGTGGAACAAAAACCCTGTCTGGGTTATCGCAGTCGGCATACAAAAATTGCTCCAGAAGAGGATGCACCAGAAAGGTCGTAATACTCTGTGAAGGCTTCAAAGAGCTCAGGGAAGCATATGTAACCTCAGAGGTTTCTATCGGAGGTAGCACAAATCCAGACCGTACCATATCAGTGAGGTCCTGGACTAAAAATCTCTGATATTGGGAAGCAGAGACTGCCTGATTCACCTCAGGCTGTACTCCTCAGACAGAAATTCTACTGCCTGACCCTTCTCCAGCTGTTCCTCATCATCAGGCTCCACCCATTCCTGCTCCAGGATTGGTGGTTCTAGTGACATGGATCTATCCCACTTCTTAGTCCCTTGAGAAACCAATGCAATCATCCCAGCGATCTTATCTTCTAAACCCACTGAGGCTGAAGTAGATCATCCTTGGTTACATATGCTGAGGCAAAAGCCACAGTAGCAGCCACAATACCAGATAGATGCAGCGGCTCAGACTATCCAGTTGCTTCTGGCCTGTCAGGAGAGGATATTACAGCGGACCTTCAGCTAAGTTCCTCAGGACCTAGCAGTGGTACATTAGTGCACATTACTTCTGATCTCAAGATACAGCTATGCAAGTAGTGTACTGAAGTAAAACACTCAATGCAAATGCTACCTTGTGAGCCACCAAGCGCAGCTCCTGACTGACTGGTCCATGCTTCTCCCCTCAGGGAAGTACTCACACGCCTCTACAGAATAGCCCGCTCTGTGTCTCAGCCACATGATATTCCCCAGTAGCAGCAGCCCAATTGTGTGTCCTGCCCTCCAGGTAAACAAATATGGCCAACTTCCGTTTCCAGCCACCACTGCGCATGTGCATGCGCCAGCTGTACTCCCTCTAGTGGCCGAAAACAGAAGAGCAAGCACATCTCAGGCACAATTGCGAGCACTCCCCTGGTGGAAAATCACAGTCACAACACCTCTCCTTTTCCCTCCAATTTAGAGATTTGTTTCTCTTTACAGAGAGAAAAAAAAAGGAGATATCTTACCAGTCCTGTTGCAGGTCTCCAACTTCTGTCAGGCACCAACCTTCACCCATCACAGTGGACATTGTCATACAGATCTTCAAGGACTCCATCTGCTGAGGGGCCACTGACTTGGAACTGTATAGCACCCTGCTGGAAGCGCCTCGGTCAGCTCTAAAACTGCACAGGGTTCCATCTGCGTGGGGGTCCAGCACTGTAAGGCTTCGTTACAGCCAAAACCTCGAGGATTCTTCTCCTTATCCAGCGAGGCTTGGGTACCATCCATCTTGGCTCACAGCTTTCTGAATGGATCCAATTAAAGTCCCTGATTCTCTTATGGAACTGTTTTGGACTTTCAGGTATGCTCCAAGAGCACAACACTTACAGTGACCATCCACCTTACAGATACTGGCAAAAAAACTGAAGTACTTCCTGTATAGGAAGGGTTATATAGGGGAGGACCTCCTCTGATTGGTCCATTCATTCACTTATAGGTGGCCTATAACCCACATAGTCACGAGTAGCCTGCTATGTGTCCCGTGATGTACAATAAAGAAAATACATTTTTCGTTTTCTTTCATTTTCCAAAAACTTGTGGCAATAAATGATATCTGTAAAATACTCACCAAACCTCTCCTTAGCAAATACCTCAGAGTGTCTACTTTCCAAAAAGGGGTCATTGGGGGGGGGGGGGAGGTGTGTACTATTTTGGCATTTCAGGGCCTCTAAAACTGCGACATGTAGTCAGGAAGTGAAATAAGGAAATTATGCCCTTTAAAAGCCTGAAGATGCTAATTGTATTTGGGGTTCTGTACGTGGCTAGACTGGCAAAAAGTCTCTCACATGTGGTATCCCCATACTTGGGAGAAGTAGCAGAATGTGTTTTGGGGTGTAATTCCACATATACCTATGGCATGTGTAAGCAATATATCATTTAAGTGACAACTTTGTGTAAAAAAAAGTTTTAATCATTTTCCAAAAAACTTGTGGAAATAAATAAATTCTTCTATTGACTCAACATGAGTCTCAGCAAAGAGGTAGGGGTGTCTACTTTCCAAAAAGGGGTCATTTGGGGAAGGAGGGGGGGGGATTTGTGCTATTCTGGCATTTTATGCCCAACATTAGTACACATCACACACTTGAAGATGAGGCCTTTTCAGACACTCTGTTCACATGAAAAAAAATCTGTATTTTTTGCTAGAAAATTACTTTGAACCTCTAAAGATTATATTATTTTTTAAAGCAGAGGCCCTAGAGAATAAAATGGTGGGTGTTGCAATTTTTTATATCACACAGTGCTTGGGCAGCAAATTTTCAAATGTAATTTGTTTGGAAGAAGTACAATTATTTGAATTTTAATGCATAAAAACACAATATATTGCCCAATTGTTTAGTAGAATACAAAATATGATGTTATACCGAGTAAATAGATACCAAACATGACATGCTTTAAAACTATGCATGCCCCGTGCAATGGCAACAAACTATATATATTTTTAATAACCATAGACAACACTTTAAAAGCCTTTACAGGCTACCCATTTAGATTTACACAGGAGGTCTAACGCTAGAAATACTGCCCTGTTCTTACATTCACGAAGAAACCTCCCATGCATGGTGCAACCGCTATTTACATATTGACACAGGGCCAACGAATGCGTACACCTTTGTGCGCAAGCGCAGGGGACGGGAGTGCTTTAAAAAATTTTCTTTTTTATTTATTTTGTTTGCTTTTTTTATTTTTACACTGTCCCTTTTATTTATTTTATCACTTTTTGTTATCACAGGGAATGTAAATATCCCCTATGAGAGCAATTTGCAGTGACAGATACTCTTTTATGAGAAATCTGGGGTGTATTCGACTCTAAATCTCTCCTCTGCCCTTAAAGCATCTGATCACATCAAGATTAGTGTGATAAGATGCTTTCCTAATATACAAATGATGCTGTTTATATCCGGCGAAACCGAAGTGATGAAATGCTTGTAGCTTCTGGTTTCTTAGACCATAGAGTTGAATTGAGCCACCGGTCTCTGATCAGCTCTATGGTCAGCAGGCAGAACCACTGGCTGCATTCTCAGGTACCCCGGTGTGATGGGAGAGCCCAAGAAAGCCTTGGAAGGCAGCAGGGGGAGGGTGTCCCCTCTCGCTGCTTGTAAAAGCAATCCAATGGCTAGTTAACCACTAGGATTGCTTTTACATGAACGCCAACAACCAACGGCTGAAAAAACAATACCAGGATGATGCCTGTAGCTGCAGATGTAGTATGCCCACCATTAGAATATTCCGCCCCCCATCCATTCACTTCTAATGTTGAGCATACATGTAAGGTTCAAAAAAAGAACCTAAAAGATTCCTTCATTTACATCGATTGATGTAGATGAAGAAACCTCTGCCAAAAAAAAAAAAATATATATATACACCGAAGCATAGGAACGATCCACCCCCTTACCACCCCAGGCCCCCATGCTTGGGCCTATATGTTCTTTTTAAATGCGAAAGGGAAAAAAAAAAAAATTCTCATCCAGCAGCACTGCATGCACTGACGTATATTCTGAAACCTAGACACCCCTCTTGCTGTCAGAAAAAACAGATTGGTGCTTCAACTGAATGGTGTTTCTGCAAAGCAAAGAACAGTTAACAATAAAACACAGTAAAAATAGAACATTAACTCAATAAGACAACTTTTTTTTATTGAAATCTGTGCCACAAAATGAAAAAAATATATATGCTGAAACATAGGAGCAATCCACCCAATGACCACCCCAGGCCCCCATGCTTGGACAAATATGTTTTTTTTTTTTACCTGCGGATGAAAAATCTCATCCAGCAGCGCTGCAAGCGCTGACATATATTCTGAGAGCAAGTTCCCCATTGCTGTCAGAATGAACAGATCAGTGCTGCAGCTGAATGGTTTTCCTGCAAAGCAAACAATGGTTAATAAAACAAAGTAACAATAGAACATTAACTCAATAAAAGGACACTTTTTTTTTGGAGCTTTTTATTTTTTATGTAATTACATTTTTTTACTTTTATTTTTTAACTTTTTTTGTAACAGCCTCTGATTTTAGGGTCTCTCAAAATGCGATAGCCAGTTTCCCATCTAATACCTTTTGAGACCCTTGTGTGAGAATGGTAAATATGTCCCCTTGTCACGTACCTGAGAGGAGACTGAAAATATTAAGTTGTCCTCCCTTGTATCTTTAGCCCAGGCTCCACAGAGTTAAACAGAGGGTGCCGAGGGACAGGAGGAACACGAGTACCAGCAGATGTCCATAGGAGAACCTGCAGCAGTAGATGAGGTCCCAAGGAGAATGGTGAACCATCAGATCATTAACAATAGCCATGCTCAGTAGTCCAGCTGAGGTTAAAGGGGTACTCCATTTGCGCTGCAGGCCACCTGTGGCTTATCATAGCTCTGATTAGACTGGTGCCCAGAACATTCAGCGAGATGCAGAGCTGCAAAAGCAGATAGCCGGGCAGACACTCGAACAGGTCGGGAAGCCAAAATCAGACACAGAAGCAAAGTCACAGGATTAGCCAAGGTCATCAACATGCGGGCAGCGAGGTACCAAATCATAAGCAGAGTCAAAGTCAAAGTCAGGAACAAGCTCGGTCAGGAACTGGTGACAAGTCAAGAGAAGAATCCAAAATCAAGTCAGGAGCAAGCTGGGTCAGTAACAAAAAGGAATACACTGGAAGAACACAGGACACAGGAAACAGCTGAAGACCAGTCAGCACTGACAGTGAGCAAGAGCATCCTTTAACCGCCTCCCGCCCGCCATATAGTAAAAAATGAGGGGTGCAAGGCGGTTTTCTCTTTCTGACAGAACGTCATATGACGGCCTCCCATTCTTACTGTGCATGCGCAGCTCTGGGAGCGTGCAGCGCGGCGATCAGCGGTGCGCTGTGTCCCTTGGAGAAAGAGCCGAAGATGTGGGCTTGGTCATGTGATCAGCTGTGTCCAGTGTAATCGGCATTCTTCAGAGGGGACATGTACACTGATCATCAGGGCGCTGATGATAATTGTGCCCTGATGATCAGTGTAGCCCCAGCAGTGCCACCTGTCAGTGTCCATCAGTGCCATGTGTCAGTGCTCATCCATGCCACCTGCCAGTGCCCATCAGCCACATGTGCCACATATCAGTGCCTAACAGTGCACATCAATGCCACATATCAGTGCCTATCTGAGCTGCCTTTCAGTGTCACCCATCAGTGACAGTCAGAGTGCCAACTATCAGTGCTGCCAATCAGTGCCACCTATCAGTGCCAGTCAGTGCCGCCTATCAGTGTGCATCAGTGCCGTCTATCAGTGTCCGTCAGTGCTGCCTATCAGTGCCACCTATCAATACCATATATGAGTGCTGCCTTTCAGTGCCCATCAGTGATGCCTGTCAATGCCCATCAGTGCCACCTATCAGTGCCCATCAGTGCAGCCTATCAGTGCCCATCACTACAGCCTCATTAGCGCACATCAGTGAAGGAGAAAAATCACTTATTTACAAAATTTTATAACAAAAACTAAGAAAGGTTTTTTTTTTTTTTTTTCAAAATTTTCAGTGGTTTTTGGTTTGTATAAGAAAAAACCCAGAGGTGATTAAATACCACCAAAATAAAGCTCTATCTGTCTCAAAAAAATGATAAAAATGTCATATGGGTACAGTGTTGCATGACCGCGAAATTGTCATTCAAAGTGTGACAGCACTGAAAGCTGGAAATTGGCCTGGGCAGGAAGGGGGTATAAGTGCCCTGTAGACTAGTGGTTAACCACTTGCCTACCGGGCACTTATACCCCCTTCCTTACCAGGCCAATTTTCAGCTTTCAGCGCTGCCGCACTTTGATTGACAATTGCGCGGTCATGCAACATTGTACCCATATGAAATTTTGATCATTTTTTTCTCACAAATAGAGCTTTCTTTTGGTGGTATTTAATCGCCACTGGGCGCTTTACTTTTTGCGCTATAAATTAAAAAAAGTGCAAAAAATTTGAAAAAAAAAAAAAAAAAGTTTGTTTCTTTTATAAAATTTTTCAAACAGGTATTTTTTCCTCTCTCCTTCACTGATTTGCGTTGATGAGGCGGCACTGATGGGCACTGATAGGCGGCACTGATGGGCACTGATAGGCAGCACTAAAGGGCACTGATAGGCAGTACTAATGAGGTGGCACGGATAGGCGGCACTGATAGACAGCACTAATTAGGGGTCACGGATAGGCGGCACTGATATGCAGCACTGATAGGCGGCACTGATAGGTGACACTGATGATGGGTACTGATAGACGGCACTGACTGGCATCACTTCTGGGCACTGACTGGCGGCACTGACTGGCACAACCCCTGGGCATTGACTGGTGGCACTGACTGGCAGCACTGCTGGGCTGCACTGGTGGGTGGCACTGGTGGGTGGGCACAGGTGGGTGGCACTGGTGGGCACAGGTGGGTGGGCACAGGTGGGTGGCACTGCTGGGCACATGTAGGTGGCACTTCTGGGCACAGGTAGGTGGCACTGCAGAGTGGCACAGGTGGGTGCACTGCTGGGCACAGGTGGGGGCACTGCTGGGCACAGGTGGGGGCACTGCTGGGAATGGGTGGGCGGGGGGCTAGTGGGCGCACTGCTGATCGGAACTTGCGGGGGTCACTGCTGGGCACCGATCATCAGGGCACTGATCATCAGTGCCCTGATGATCGGTGCCGATCCCCGCTCTGACAACTGCCGGTTCTCGGCAGTACTTTCCTCACAATCTGACAGCGTGAGGAAAGTGCAGCCGAGAACCGGCACTTGCATTTTCCTGTGATCAGCGTGTCATTGGACACCGCTGATCACGTGGTAAAAGGCCGGTGGGATCGGCCTTATACCACATCACGTGATCAGCTGTGTCCGTAGGACACAGCGATCACGGAGATCGCCGGGTGCGCGCCCCCTGGGGCGCGCAGGAGAGCGCGTTCTGGGAGGACGTCATATGACGTCCACTCAGAACTGGCCGGCCGCGGTGAAGCCGTCTTTCGGCTATGCGCGGTCGGCAAGTGGTTAAACAGCCAGTCTGGTGCCAGAGTGCACGTGTGCGTGTATTTTTATGCGCATGTGCCAGCCTGCACGCATTCTTATTAGTAGAGATGAGCGAATTATTCAAAAATTCGATTCGACTGATTCGGCGAATTCGTGAAAAAATTTTGATTCGAGTCGAATATATTCGCTGCAAATTTAACTTATAAAAGGGTGTTTCTAGGCTTCAGAGAGCCTTTATATTAGTGCAGAACACTGTACCTTTAATTTAAATGCCCTTGGAGTCTGCTGGGGAAGAGAAATAATACTGACAGTCAGTATGACATGCAGATGAGTGCCGTCGATCTTAGAATCACCGCACACTTCACTCATTTGGGCAGTCACGGGGCCAAAACCAGAGTGTGGAGCCACAGTGTGGCGGTGGAGGCAGCAGCAATGGGAGGCCATAGAGCACCCTATGACAAAAATGGAAACCACCAGCAGTGTGAGGAGACCTGAAAGTGGCACATGGCAGAGTGTGGCGATGGAGACAGCAGCAATGGGAGGCCGTACAGGGACCCATGACACACTCTGGACCTGGCAGCAGCATGAGGAGGCGGTACAGGGGCCCATGACAGATTACGGGCCTGGCAGCAGCATGAGGAGTTGGTACGGGGGCCCATGGCAGATTACGGGCCTGGCAGCAGCAATGGGAGGCCCGTACAGGGACCCATGACACACTCTGGACCTGGCAGCAGCATGAGGAGGCGGTACAGGGGCGCATGACAGATTACGAGCCTGGCAGCAGCAACTTGGACAGGAGGACGTTCAGCTTCTGCACCGTCGGGTGCGTGCTCGCAAACTGTTGTCTCTTGGAAACGGATTCCAAGAAAGACTGCTGACGGAATCCGTGAAGAGGAGTAGCAGGAGAAGGAGCATCTGAACGAGCGGAATATGCCAACAAGCGACAACAGGGGCCCATGACAGATTACAGGCCTGGCAGCAGCATGAGGAGTCGGTACGGGGGACCATGGCAGATTACGGGCCTGGCAGCAGCAATGGGAGGCCCGTAATCTGCCAGCACCCTATGACAAAAAATGGAACACACCAGCAGTGTGTGAGGAGACCTGAAAGTGGCACATGGCAGAGTGTGGCAATGGAGACAGCAGCAAATGGGAGGCCGTACAGGGACCCATGAGACACTGTGGATCTGGCAGCAGCATGAGGAGGCGGTACTGGGGCCCATGGCAGATTACGGGCCTGGCAGCAGCAATGGGAGGCCCGTAATCTGCCAGCACCCTATGACAAAAAATGGAACACACCAGCAGTGTGAGGAGACCTGAAAGTGGCACATGGCAGAGTGTGGCGATGGAGACAGCAGCAATGGGAGGCGGTACAGGGACCCATGAGACACTGTGAACCTGGCAGCAGCATGAGGAGGCGGTACAGGGGCCCATGGCAGATTAAGGGCCTGGCAGCAGCAATGGGAGGCCTGTAATCTGCCAGCACCCTATGACAAAATGGAACCCTGGGCTGGGGCAGGCAGAACCGCCGTATCTTTATCACGGTTTTTTCCCAGGCCACCGAATGGCGACGCTGCATATGCTGACGCAACGCTGTAGTCCCAACATGGGACCCCCCTGGCCACGCTTGACTTTCTGGCCACATAGTCGACATACGGCTACGTTTACTTCCTCGGGCGGCTTGACGAAAAATTGCCACACCGCCGAGTAGGAAACTTTGCCCCCCCTACTCCTCACTGGCTGACTGCTACTTCCTCCGTGCACACCGGCACCACTACTGGCCGTGGTGGTAGGCTGCAGTGGAGCTGGTGCTCTACTCTGTGGCCGTTTGCCTCCACTGACACTGCTGCGACCCTGCTGCCTCCTGCAGCAGCAATGGGAGGCCGTACAGGGACCCATGACACACTCTGGACCTGGCAGCAACATGAAGGAGGCGGTACAGGGGCCCATGGCAGATTAGGGGCCTGGCAGCAGCAATGGGAGGCCCGTAATCTGCCAGCACCCTATGACAAAAAATGGAACACACCAGCAGTGTGAGGAGACCTGAAAGTGGCACATGGCATGAGACACTGTGGACCTGGCAGCAGCATGAGGAGGCGGTACAGGGGCCCATGGCAGATTAGGGGCCTGGCAGCAGCTATGGGAGGCCCGTAATCTGTCAGCACCCTATGACAAAAAATGGAACACACCAGCAGTGTGAGGAGACCTGAAAGTGGCACATGGCATGAGACACTGTGGACCTGGCAGCAGCATGAGGAGGCGGTACAGGGGGCCCATGGCAGATTAGGGGCCTGGCAGCAGCTATGGGAGACCCGTAATCTGCCAGCACCCTATGACAAAAAATGGAACACACCAGCAGTGTGTGAGGAGACCTGAAAGTGGCACATGGCAGAGTGTCGCGATGGAGACAGCAGCAATGGGAGGCCGTTACAGGGGACCCATGAGACACTGTGGACCCTGGCAGCAGGGGGGGCATGGAGGAGGCGGTATACAGGGGCCCATGGCAGATTAGGGGCCTGGCAGCAGCAATGGGAGGCCCGTAATCTGCCAGCACCCTAATGACAAAAAATGGAACACACCAGCAGTGTGAGGAGACCTGAAAGTTTGGCACATG